CGGACGGACCCTTAGTCCCCCATCTAGCGGCTGGAGTGCGCCAACTTGCCAGGATCGGGGATGGCTGTCAGGTGGGTGCGTTGTTGATGTGCAGAGTTTGGATCCTGATGGGCTCAGTAGCGAGCTCAGCAGCCGCTGCCTTACGAAGACATACCAGTGTCCGACCTCGACCTGGAGTACGTCGCCGACGCCTATGCGGCTCCAAGGCATACACTGCGAGCATGGAGACAGCGAGCTGTGGGCGCATTGCGCGAGCTAAAAAGGCGCTGGGAGGGGGTGACCCTCCACCTGCGTGCTTTTCAGGAGCCAGTAGTGCACCAGGTGACCAAGCAGCGCGACATCGGCTTTATCGCTCTGCTGATGGTTCTCACTTCATGGGCCGACACTGGTTTCCCTTATGGGCTGGTTTAAGGCCTGCCAGCGGTGGGATATGCACCCCCGTATGGCATTTTCCCCCAACAGCCAGCCAAGAGGATTGGCATGGCAGACGTGCTGGAAGGATGGCAGGAGCACAACCAGAACATCTTGAACCAGCTGAAGGCAAGGAAAGACGATGCATTCTTGCTGCAACAGTCCATGGAGGACGCCGGTAATGGTTTTTGTACACCCCCTCTGCGGCGAGCAGGGTTCCTCAGGAATTGGCGACCAAGCACATCGTCTTATCCCACGTTGTGTCATCACCCAAAGCTCAGGGAAGCAACGAGTCATCGACAACGGCGACACAGGAGGACAATCAGACCTCTCTTCCGATGCCAACAGGCTCACACTATGCAGCCCTGTGAGACCAGCCCAGCACATCAGCCTGGTTATGCATTGTTGGTCTGAGGAAGAGGTCGCCGAGTTTTGTCAGAACGATGCCTGGGAGACAGGCCGAGAGGACTTGCCATCAGCCTATAGGTACTGCCCCATGTCACAGCAGGAGAGTTTAGGCTGCGTTGTGGTATGGTTTGACCACGAGTGGCAAACTCCGGCATACCAGGTCTATGCAGGCCTCTTGTTTGGGCTCCCCCTGGTGGTCACTTCCTTGAACAGATTTTCCAGACTGTTGGAAGCGCTGACTCGCAGGTATTGCCAAGTTTTGACATCCCTGTACTTCGATGATGCAACAATTACTGATGTTCGCTCAGCCAAGGGCTCGGGGCAATGGGCCATGAACCAACTATGCCTGATGATTGGATCCCCATTTGCAGAAGACAAGAAACAGACAATGCAGAGCAATGGCACTTTCCTGGGACTTACCCATGACCTCAGCTGCATCAACCAGACAGGCCATGTTCGCTTTTGGGCCCGTGCCAGACCATGACAAAGTTCGTGACATACTTGCTACTGCACGTCAAACGGGCCACTTCAGTCGAGGCACGGCCCCCAAGCTATATGGACTTGCCAACTTCTTGGAACAAGGCATTTATGGACGTGTCGAGTATGGAAGTCTCATGGCCGTCAAGGCACGCCAGGACGAGAATGCCACAGCCATGACCCCAGAGATTGAGGGCTGTGATGCGCTTTCAGCCAAAACGTGAGTTTCCAGTTTTTCGTATGGAGCGACTTCGATTTTTGGCAGCGTCTGACGCTGCGGTCGAAGCTGACAATCCAGGGTCAGGTGGATTCCACTGATTCCACCTTATCTTTTTCCAACCAGACGGATCGCAAACCCGTCTCAGTTTTGTTGCAACCAATTGTGCGGAGCTTCAAACCCTCTGGCAGCCTGCGGAGACCCACATCGCCCAGTTGGAGCTCTCTATGGTGCTGTATGCCCTGGTTGAGCGCCCTGGCCTTTTTCGCCATCGACACGGTCTTTGGTTCCTCGACAACGTTGCCGCAGTCATGACCTTAGGGAGAGGGCGCTCTAGCAATGCGGACTTAGCAAAGCTAGGTCATCTGATCCATTTGGCCTTGTTTCCACTGCGCGCCCAGGGTTACTGGGAGTACATCCTGGGCAAGAGCAACTGGGCCGATGACATCAGTAGATTAGGTCTCAATGATCCTTGGTGGCGCTGCCATGGATTTAGCTTTTATTCGTCGTACCTCCCCACCATCTTTTTCCATCTGCCTGTCGTCGCAGTCATCCTCACCTTCGAATTCCTTTAGTGACTTTAGTGCTTTGGGAGTAGTAGTGGGGCGACCAGGTAGCTGCCCAGCGGCGATACTGGTCTGAGGCTATGTGCGTGTCACACAGTCACTTACCCACAGCAAACCTGAGGATAGCAGGTGAGACTGACTCAACACTGGCAGGGTTTGGAAAAAGGATTGCGAGTGTCCGCGCGGTACGTAGTTCATATGTCACTTTGAGATGTAATTATATTTATATTTACATGGTCCCGCCCGGCGCCCGGCAACCCCCCCATGCTATCCCCAGCCCAGCAACCCCATGGGGGTGGCCTAGCCATCTACGACCACGCGTCAAGATCTCATATGCTATACTTAAATGCTGGCCTTGCGCTGCCTAACAGGATACCTCCATGCAGTGTTCACTACTGCCTATATGCCCACACAATCTATTTACAACGTATTACTGCCCATAGAATATTTTATAGTAGCCATATACTAGCTACTATCAAGATCTCATGTGCTTTACATGCGTGCTGGCCACGTACTACCTATATTATACACTATCTAATACATGCAGGGGGGCTGGGGTAAAGTAGACCCTACATCGATCATTTCCAGTAGTGCCGCACAAGGCGGTGGCGGAAGTTTCAAATATAGGAAACCTAAAGGAGAGGTTGGTTGTTGTGAATCACGGATGGCAGAGCGAATCCACTGATGGAACGAAGGTGATTGTGATTTCTGGAGTGGTTGCAGTGGTCACCTCACCCACAACTGCAGGATGTAGTGTGGTGTAGCGAAGTGCAATGTAATTGCACTTGTAGTTGTAGTTGTAGTGTAGTCGTAGTTGTAGTGTAGTTGATGTTGTTGAAGTTGTAATGTTGGAGTTGCGGTTGTGGTTGTGGTTGTAGTAGTAGTCGTAGTGCAGTTGAAAATGTAGTTCTAGTAATTGAAGTAGCTGTAGGAGTTGTAGCTGTAGTTGTAGTGTAGTTGTAGTTGTAGCTGTAGTGTAGTTTACTGGTAGTGGTCGTTGTAGTTGTAGTGGTAGTTAGTTGTAGCTGTAGTTGTAGCTGTGGTGTAGTGTAGTGGTAGTTGTAGTTGTAGCGTACAGTAGCTGTAATTGTAGTCCATCCAGTGTAGCGCAATTGAAGTTGTAATTGCATTTGTAGTTGCAGTTGTAGTGTAGTTGTTGCAGTTGTTGTGGTTGTAGTTGCACTTGCAGTTCTAGTCGCAGTTGAAGGTTTAGTGTTGTGTAATGGTAATTGTAGTTGTAGTTGCAAACGTGGTTTTAGATGTTCTAGTTGAAATGCAGTTGGAGTTGTAGATGTAGTTGTCGTGTGGTGGTAGTGGTCGCAGTTGAAGTTGTAGTTGAAGTTGTAGTTGAAGTTGTAGTGTTGGCGTCGTGTAGTGTTGTCGCAATTGTCTATCTATTTGTCTATCTATATATAGTTATATATATATGTATAATATATATATATATATTATATATGGGTGTGTGTTTGTTTATCTATTTGTCTATCTATCTAGCCATCTTTCTGTCTATCTATTTATCTCTCTATCTGCATTCTGCGAGACGTCTTCAGTTTTTGAGCTGGACAACGTCAAAAACTAAAGAATTCTGCGAGACTTCCTCAATGTTTCAAGTTGACAACATCAAAAACGAAGCAATTCTGCGAGACGTCTTTCAAGAATGGAAAGTTGAATGCAGAGCGGACGGCCTCGTACCATTGTGTCTTGTGATTGTTCCACTCCATCTGTCTAAAGTGTTGCGCTTGTCGCGCAAAATCATCTTAGCAAACCTACAGATCTGATGCTCCAAAATGCAACCCCTCTCAGGAAATCGGCGCACTGACATCTTAACATGTCTGATGACGAACATATCTCTTGTACTGCGCCTGCCATCGTTTTTGGAACTGCTACAAAACCCTCACGTTTTGCTCCCTTTTGGCAAGGTGTAGAAACCCCTGCACCTGCCAGGCAAAAAAACATCTGAACCTCAAAAGTGGTCCGGGCCTGTCATGCTTTTAACATGTTGACTTGGAAATGTGCTTTGTGCCACAACGGCGTACACTTTTTCAACATCTCAACTTCCAAAAGTGCTCCGAACCGGGTGTGCTTTGTACATTTTGACTTAGAAATGTGCTTCGCGCCACATCGGCCTGCAATTTTTCAACCTCTCAACTTCCAAAATTGCTCTGAACGTGGTGTGTTCTGTACATTTTGACTTGGAAATGTGCTTCGCGCCACCATGGCGCGCACTTTTTGGACACCTCAACTTCCAAAAGTGCTCCGAGACCATCAGTTTTTAACACTTTTGACTTTGAAATGTGCTTCGCGCCACAACGACGTGCACTTTTTCGACATCTCAACTTCCAAACGGATCCGAACCTGGTTCGCTTTGCACATTTTGACTTCGAATGCGCTTCGCGCCACATCAGCGTGCAATTTTTTGTCTCTCATCTGGCCAGCTGGCTCCGCACCTGCCGCTTTAGCGAGCCTACTTTTCAACCCTCCGAAGCCAAAAATCATTGGAAAAACACTGTGTTTCGCGACTTTTCTACTTTTTCGCGCGCCTGCATCTTCTTTCCTCTGGCTCTTTCTCTTCTCTGATCTTCTTTCTTCTTCTCTTCTCTGACTCTTCCCACCTCTGCTTTTCCATCTGTCCATATTGTCAGAAGTTTGACTTCTAAACTTCCTCCGATCATTCATATGCGAGGGACAAGCCAACTATATACGATACCAAGCCTCCTACATTCAGCGTCCCTACAGGACCATGACCATGAGGGGGAGTTGCTGGGCTGGGCCATGTATACACAGCATGCGCGTTTGTTTGTTTGTGTGTGTGTTTCTGTATTTTTGTCCAGTACATTCCAGTACATGCGAACCTGATTAGGCGTCCATGTTTACATCAGCACGGGTTTAGACGTGCATTCGTGCGACTTGGATCCTCTAAGGTCGCCAGCTGACCGGAGCATGGCCGGATGCACCGGACGAAGATTCGACAGGTGGAGATGGTGCCGAAAAGTGCCACTGCAGCGAATTCTGTGGAAGTGCCAAAGGGAAAGGGCAAGGGACACATGCACTCAGTTATGAGCATCAGAAGCATGCAAAATATTAAGATATACTATGATATACCATGTGAATCTATATGATATACGTAATAAAAAGTTGGAAAAGACTGCATGTGTGAGCCTACGTGAATTTTAGGTTGCAAGCGTTTCGGCTTCTACTGGCAGAAGGAGGGGTGTGCGGATGCCTATTGCAGATGTCATGGCAGAGATGCAGCAAGAGCCATGCAGAGCCTGGCCCAGGCTTCGTTTTTATCGAGGACTTCTTCCAGAGATGGTCAGCAACCTTGGCACTCATCTTGAACGTCTTGGATGTCGATTTTGATTCATTCTTCACCTGCTGATTGGCACTAATCTTCCAAAATCTTCCAAACACCTCCCAGACTTGCGGCAAGGTTGGGAATGTGCCCACCCGCACAGCCATGTATGCAGGCAAAGACTGGGCGTTTCCCCGGCTCTTTTCTTGCCTAGTTGGTCGCTTGGTAGTTGCTAAAAAATTGCCTGGGTACAGGACAGATATTTAGTTCACGCATGTTCACGCATTATTGCAGCTGCACGCAGGTGCACAAAGACAAGTGAGTGTCCTACGCATGGGACTTGTCTTTCATCCTTTAACTGCTGGCATTTGGCTTATTCCTGTGTTGCTCGAGGGTTTCTGACGCTTTGTTCCCCACAGCTTCAGACATGGCTTCCTCAATGATGTGCCCAAATGTGCAGCTCCCAGGCGAAAGCGAACAAAGCTGTATGACCGGAAATAGTGGAGCATGCAGCAGCATGGGCTATGGCAACTCCTTCGGCTGGAATGGCAATGGTATGCAAGGCATGCAAGGCTTCCCCATGAACTCAGGGGCGCAAGCCAACCAGTGTGGCTTTCCACAGGGCAATTGTGGCTGGCCATCCTGCAACTGCGGCGGTTGGGGAAATTGCTCAGGCATTCTTGGTTGCACTTATACACATTATTATATATATATACACATATGTATATACATATATATATATATGTGTGTGTGCGCGTGTGTGTGTGTGCGTGTGTGCCCGCATACATCGTACAATTTTGTCATGTTTCACATTGTGCTCGCACAGGCCCCTTTTGTATCCTCTTTGTCACCCATTTCTCGGAAACACCCAGGTAGGAATGAGTTGTTTTCTATCAACTTTTGGTATTCCATCAGTGTTGCCAAGCAAGGCAATCAAGGCTGCCAAGGGGCTTGCCCCAACCAGTGGCAGGGCCAGTGTGGATGGCCACAGTGTGGAGGTTGCAATTGTGGCTGGTGCGGATGCAATGGAAACTGCCAAAATTGTTGCGGAAATTGGTGCCCCGGCTGCCAGAACGGTCAATGGAATTGGCAGCAAAACTGCAACGAGCCGCGGTATTCAGGAAGAACTAGGGCTGAGTGGGCATCTTGGCACCACAAGTTTTGGCAATCTGGTGCCTAGTCACGTCACTAAGAATTCATTGGTTTCCTTTCTTTCAACCACCTGATGCAAAAGCAGCCATGGACAAGACTCCGTGCTTGCTCAATTTGGCATTGTCTCTTTCTAACATTTGAACCTGGTGCCCTGTGCAAGTGCGCATGTGTTTGTTTGTTGCGTTGTGTTGTGTTGTGTTGTCTTTTGCTTTGTTTTGTTTTGGTTGGTTTGTTTGTTTGTTTGTCTGTGTGTGTGGGTGTTTGAAAGCCACTTGAAACTAAGGCAAATTGGATTGCTACTCCATGCGGCGACCGCTGGTGTCAGACCAAGCTCAATGAAGGCAAGTGTGTGGTGGAGTGGATGATCAGGACGTGGGGGTTAGACTTGCTCCGAAGCGGCAGCGGGGTCATCGATGTGGGCGGTGAGCCTGGTTTTGTAGCTATCGCCCTTCTGGAGCATGGAATCCCTGCAACCATAGTGGACCCAAGCTGGCGAATGACAGGAAAGACCAACCGTCTCACAAACATCGAGCAGATGGTCCAAATACCTGGTTGTCCAAAATTTCAAGCCTTCCAAGAGATGTTTGATGAAAACTTCTACGGACACCACAGGGAATTTGTAGACTCGGCAAGTGCGATTGTTTCACTGTACGGCGATGAGGCCACAGAGCCAAGCTTGCGCTTTGCTGCATCTCTCGGAAAGCCTTGTGCCCTCATACCATGCAACGAGTGTGTCCGGTTTTTCCCATCTCACAATCAGACATACGATGGCTATGTCCAAGCGTGCATGGATGTGGCAAATCAGAACCGAGGCCGTTTTGAATTGGTCAACCTGGTAGGGGCACCTTTTTCCAGAGCATTGCTGGTACAACCTCCGCTGCCGCAATGGGCGAGCAAGTACGCAGAGGTTCAGGGATGGCCAGGAGAGGATGAGTTGGCCGTGCCCTTGAAGGTGCTGAAGGACTTGGGAGTGCTTTACCAGGTCCTGTGGAAGATGGAATTGGCAAAAAGAGGTGCCTGAGGCGAGGACAGCAGGCCCAGGCACCGCACAGAACTCGATGATGGCCAAGTACGACATCAACATCGTACATGGATGTTCATAGTGCATCATAGTGTGCCATAGTGTCACGCCAAGTGTCACGCGAGGGTGTGGCGATTTTCAGTCCTTGCATTTTTCAAGCCTGTCACAGTCAGCTGGTAAGGCTGGTGGTCGAACACAAAAATGTGAGGATCCGGCAGTTCAGCAACAGCTTACATAGGACGCCGTGCAGAAAAGCAGTGCGATCAGTTCTACCAAGTTTCATTCAAGCTTACAGAAGCTTACCATTGGCGGTCTCAGCTTGATTGATATAGTGAATATAGATGAATATAGTGGATAAGCACCAATAGGACCCCGTGCCAGTTGCCAGGTCCAGGCATCTCGAAGCATTGGGCTATCCAAAGTCTTGCGTCGGCAGCTTACACAACTTCTAAGGAGGCAGCCCTTGGAACAGATTAGCTGCTATGCCATTGTGCTCTTTTGGCCTTCAAGTCTTTCAGGCGAGAGAGTTTCTGGCTGGCATGTTCTCAGGAGCTTGTTGGACCTTGAAGTGCAACGACGGACCTTTGGTGACATATATCGTGCGAAGGAGTGCCAGAGGCAGTTGCAACCACTCCCTTCCAAGTTGTGAAGATTCGAATGCAGCCAGGCCCTTAGCTTCGGTCTCGGATGGCCATGTTTTCTCAGCCCCGGCAGCGACATCATTGGTCATTGGTTCATATTGGTTCAAACATGTTCAAATATTTTGATAGTTCGCCCCGGCTGGAATAGTATGAATAATGATCACCACTGCTCCACTGCTCCACTGTTCAGATCTTTTTGACGAGTTGATACCAAGCCAGATGAGCTTCGGTGTGTCCTGCTTTGCAGTCCGGACTGTAGGAACAAGGACCTCGTGAAGCACTACGCGAATGACATAGACTGCTTGGTAAAAGCACAAAGCCCAGAGAATCAACATGTCCTCGTTCTGTCCTGCATGTTTCCACCAAACAAACGATGAAAGGGGTAGTGAGCGGAACAAAGCGCACCAAGGTTCTTTCAGAGGAGGGTGCTCTGGCGCTTTTCAACGGCTTGCAGACAACTGCCTCTTGGGCGATACAGCTAAGCTTGCCGCTATCATGTCCCTGTCAGAGATTGCCTCTCAAAGTTGCTAGCAATGTGAATGGTTAGTTGACAAGAATCAAGACATAAAAATCCAGTGCTGCCCAATGATGTGATGATGTGATACTGTAGATTGACCATAGATTGCTCGCAAAATGTCTTCAGGCGGTCAACTGCGTGACCATTTTGGCTCCATCAGAAATCTATTCATATCAATTCCCTCACCAAAATGAGTTGAGCAATAACCGAATCTTCATATCTTTGCATGCGACTCATGCGACGCACCTGGAGGTTTTCTACGTGTGTTTTGGCCTCAACTCTGGCCATTGCAGTGGCCGCTTATGCCGATGCCTGTGCCAAGGATTCCGACGATTCCGTTGGAATGGTTCAGACGGTTCAGACACGTCAGACACGTCAGACACGTCAGACACGTCTTGACAAACAGAAAGCGCGCCCAAACATCGTGATTTTCTACCATCTGTTCATCGATGAGAACAAAAACATTCCCATTGTCTCAGCGGTGGTCAAGGAGCAGTTGCAACTGATCCCTGATCCAAAGAACACAGAAATTCGGATCAATTCCATTGGTGCTGAGCCAACGATGTCAAATTTCAATTTGTCATCAGAGCTGGAAAAGCGGGCCAAAATCATAGCTCACTATCCCACAGGATGGGAAAATGTGACGCTTCATGATCTTTGGTCTTTTTGCCGCAAAAAGGGGACGGACCCGGATCAGCTCGTGGTCTATTTGCATTCCAAAGGTTCCTTTCGCGGTCTTAGCGATCCTGGGCTTTGGAAAGTGCAAAGTTTCCACCGCGGCTATGTGACCAGAGGTGCTTTGTCTCAGGAGTGCCTTCACATGCCAAAAGACTGCAACATTTGCTCCACCAGAATGACTCCATTTCCATACGCGCAAACACCTGGAAACATGTGGGCTGCACGCTGCGGCTATGTAGCCAACTTGAAGAATCCCCTAACTTTTGGAGAAGACATGATGAAAACACCAGATGATGTACCGATTGTGAGGGGGATGAGAGGCTCTGCGGCATTTTGTACGGGGAAATCCCGCTATGCTCACGAGCACTGGGTGTATTCACATCCACATGCTGCGCCCTGCGACTTAGACACCAAGCGAGCAGCTCCTATGGCGAAGCTCCTCCCTGGGAATTCAGCAGCGATTTCGAAAAGGATTTGCAAAAAGCACCTCGTTTCAACCTGCAAACATACCGTTGGAGAAGAGGATATTGCGTGGGCGTGGGAGAAGCTCTTCCAGAACGACTCCAAGCATATCATATTCTGTATGGCAAGGAACCACCAGCAGACTGGTGGGGCTGGAGCTTCTTCGGTGCAGAGCGCCCTGCACGCTGATCGAACGCAAGAACCCCTGCACGCAAATTCATCATCCATGTTCATCATGATGTCATGCATGCTGGAAGCTTTGACATACCTGAAGGAACTCCTTTGCCCTTTGGTGCCCCTTTGAAACTCTTTGAAGCTATCCAAACGTCGAAACATCACTTAGGCAGGAACCCTGTGGGAAGCACTGTGCGACCAATAACGATCGAGCAGTTCTTTTGAGAAACGGTCCAAAACACCACAGCGACCGAGGTTTTCCGCAACTCCATTTGGAATGCGGTCAGCTCCTTATGGAAGGTCTTGATTGGATGTAGCGCATGATCAGTTGATAGGTGGATGAATAAGCAGGTAGGTATGGACGTTTGTAGCTGGGAGTTGGCCATGAACCATGTGTACTGTAGCATGATTTGGTTGCATGATATAGCAGAATTTGCAGCGGCAAGGAGAGATTTGATCTCCCAGTGTCTTTTTGTGTTGGGGTGGGATTTTCGAGACATAAAGACCACTACAGTACCATGTATCGTATATGATTGTTCGATGAAAACATCATAAAACATCTACCATCAGCCTCCTTCGAGCTATTTGGTGATGCCTTGTTTGCCATTTGGGGGAAGCCCTGCCCAGCAAGACTTCCATGATGATGATACCTGGCAGACAATGGGTCCTCGTCACAGTTGATTTGGATCTATTCACGAAAGCTAGCGTCAGCTAGCTGGAGTCTTCTTGCTTTAGCAAGTATTGGGGGGGCTGCTCAAGGACATCACGTGATTTTTCACGCGAAAGGGCCCCCCCCCTCCACCACCATCACCACCATCACCACCATCATCATCATCATCATCATCATCATCATCATCGTCATCATCATCGTCGTCATCATCATCATCGTCATCATCATCGTCATCGTCCTCTCCATCGTCCTCGTCCTCGTCATCATCATCATCATCATCATCATCATCGTCATCGTCATCGTCATCGTCCTCGTCATCGTCATCGTCATCGTCATCATCATCATCGTCATCATCATCATCATCCTCGTCATCATCATCATCATCATCATCATCATCATCATCATTCATCATTCATCATTCATCATTCATCATTCATCATTCATCATCATCATCATCATCATCATCATCATCGTTATTCAATTACATTTTATCATTATTGGCAATTATTGTCATTATCACGAAAGCTAGCGTCAGCTCGCTAGAGTCTTCTTGCTTTAGCACGTATTCCGGGGCTCCCCAAGGACATCACGTGATTTTTCCCGCGAAAGGGCCCCCCCCTGCCCCCTCCCCCATATATATCATTGTTATATATCATATATCAATATATCATTGTTGCATCCTCGTTGGGACGAACAATGCCGCGACACGATGATGACAGTCCCTCCGCAACTCACCTCTTCCCTTCCTTCTTTCTCCTACCCCGCTAGCTTTCGTCATCCACCCCCGGCCTCAAGTTGCTTGTTTCGGTTTCAGGTCTATTTTGGCGCGATTTCAGCGATGTCCGACTTTCGCAAAGAATCCAGGGAAGGAGTTGTTCCAGACTCAGCCGGCTTGGGTCATTCAACCGCTTCGGTGGTCTTACAGGTGTTTCAAGACATTCACAGCGGGTGTTAAGGCAGAACAACTGCAACGTCTTGCAACTGGTTTGGGCGCAGGAATCCTTGCCACGTCGTGGTCCCAGATGATACTCTTCGCGAAATGAATACACATGAACTCTGATGTGTCATGTAAGTAGAATTGAGAGCAAAGCGAGCAGGTGTTTCAATGCTCCTTTTGATGTGGCGTGCCCATCTCAGACAATTCTCACTTTCCAAGATGAGAGGCTCTAGCTGCTACTGGCTGTAGTTGAGAGGAAAAGTCGCATTCAGCAATCCAAAAGTGGGCCAAATAGAAGGACCGACTACTCAGTTTGGTGGCTGTAGCTGGATGGAAGAGACTTTACTGCACAAGACCACTGCAAAAAACAACACCTTGTCCCTGCTCCAACGGTTGCAAGCGATGGGCAGGACCACCTTTGGCATTTTGCTTGACATTCTCCAACAGGAAGGTCGCAACGTCATTCCATCAAGGAACGATTCATGGTCAGAGTGAGATGCGTACATCTTGCTTTGTGATTAACATGTTGTTGCTGGTGAAGATTGATTCGACCACATTGACAGCATTCCGAGCCAGGTGCAAGGGCTTTGTACAAAGGTTTTACGCCCAAAGCATGGAGGATGGGAGTCGGAGGTGCTTTCTTATTGGACGTGATTGAATGTGGGCGCATCAATTGTTTTCAATGATATGCCGTCATATATATATATATAATTATATTAATATTAATATATATATATATATATTCATGTGCGTGCGTGTGATTGTGTATGTGTAATGTAATGCAACGCAATGTAATGAAATGTAAAGCAGACACACTCTTAGAAGACAGACCGAACAATGTCACTTGCACCAATCAGATGACAGTCTAAAACGACCGAAAAGGCATTGAAAATTGCGACATTCAGTGTAAGGGGTTAAATTTTGCATCAGGACGGCAACAACTTATGTAACTCATGACAAAACATCACCTTGACATTGTCCCGCTTCAGGGAATCCATGCAAATTACACAGGAAAAGAAGAGCATGGAGATTTTATGTTTTATTTTTCCAGTATTATTGAAGACGATCACAGAAGGAAAACAGACCTAAAACTAGAAGAGCTGAATCAAAAGGTGAAGACGAAACGGATTACAGCACAAGAGGCAAAACGGGAAAGGCTAGACATATTGAACATAAGCGCAGAGAAACTCAGAGTTGGCTTTGTATACCGCAAATCTAGCTTCAAAGGTACGGAAATGGATGTGACTTGTATCAAAAAGAGAATCATATCACAATCAACACCGTTCCATTGGGTATCTCTCTGACCAATGTTTATGCACCACATGCAGGGCTCACATCCCAAACCAAGACGGATTTCTATGACTCCCTAGCCCATTTAGTAAGACAACATCCACCAAATCAAATCAATTTGATATTGGGTGATTTCGACGCAAGATTAATGGAAATACTCCCTGGAGAAAGAACGATTCTTGGCCAGTTTAGTTATCGTGACCCTGAAAGCGCAATCTCGAATCGTTCGAGTGGACAACTTGAGAATCGAAAAATGTTCATTGACCTCTGCTTAGAAGAAACATTTACCGGCAAATACTTGGTTCTGCAAACCGACGGCTAGATTGGCTACATACCGTAACCCCACTGTGCCAACTTTTGATGTATCAAACATAGACACATTACGCTCAGATGGATTATATATATATTCTGATCAATGACCGATGGAAAAATGCCATGACTAATATCATAAATATACAGGATAAGTTTCTTGACTCAGACCATTCTTTGCAAATTGCTAACCTGAAAGTGAAACTGGCAAAACATCATACGTAGAACCAAAAAAGAATCACGGCCAAGGTATAGGAAACTTTCTGAGCAAGAGATAGGTCTCTATGACCAAGCAGTGTCACGAAGCACTGATTTCACACAATCACTTCAACTGGCAGCAAAGCACACTTTGACAAAAATCCCCACAACACAAAAGAAGGATTACATTTCTGCTGGCACGTGGAAAGTTATTGAAGAAAAAGAGGCGGCAATCGCGGCAGGAGACTACGCTAGAAGCCAAGTTCTATCGTCTACAATCAAAAGAATGGCAAGAAAAGACCGGAAAAACATGATTCTTGAACAGCTACAGGCGGCCGATGCGCAGGGTTATAAATGGGGCAGACGCATGGACATTTCAGAACGCACAGGAACCAATCTAACTATCACACTATTGGATTGGAAGATGGCATTTGACAAAGTTGACCAACACAAAATTACTGCAGGTATTGAGAAGCACCTGCAACAGACTCAAGCTGTTTTGGACCAAAGCGCAAGACTCCATTTCATGGCAAATTCATGCAAATTCGAGGTTTTCATTCAATCCTTCGGAGTAAGCTTTTATATGGGTTGGAAACTAGCCAACTTAACCAGTCATAACTTCATAGATTAGATGTTTTGCAGATCAAAGGATATCGGATATCGGAGAATTCTACATATCCCACCCACAAGTGTTGACAGAACAATGACCAATGCATTGGTAAGAGAATTTATCAAAAGTCATTATGGTGCAACAGTTATAAAATTCTCAAAACTATGGTTGAAAAGAAAAATTCAGCTCTTAGGACACATCATTCGAGCAGGCCCACAAGATCCCATGCGTCAGGTCCTTTTTCTACCTAATTCACTCATACCTAGAACTGAACATGCAAGACGAGTAGGCAAACCCAGAGCTCACTGGCTAATCGAAACCTATGCAGATGCTTATAGAGAAAGTGGTCACGTAGATCAGTTTGACATCAACAACATTCTTCAAAGGAATTCAGTAAAGGAATTGGCCAGCAAAGACTCAACATTTTTTCCTGACACTCCACCGCACACCTCTTCACCGAAAGTTTCATCACCGAAAGCTTCGTCATCGAAAGCATATTCCCGGCCCGGCCTCAGAAATAATAGATGTCTACACCCCTTTTGCTTTTTTTTGCTTCTGTTCCTCCCCCCTTGTTTGATAATTTGATTTTCCCTCCTATTCCGTGATTCAGACAAAAAATCATGGTGCTGCAAGGTTCACAAGTTCAGTTTATTCTGCGAAGCAGATAGCTAAGATTCTGCATTCAGCTGCAGCTGCGGCTTGTGCGATGCAAAAAAAAATGTGGTGTAGCGTCGTGTAGTGTAATGTAACTGTGTGCAACGGTATGTAGCGGTATGTAATGGTATGTGATGGTATTTGATGGTATGATATGTATGTAATGTATGTAATGTATGTAATGTATGTATGTAATGTATGTAAGTTGAAAATACTCGCATGGTACAGTGTATATTTCTCATGTGAGCTTTCCTCTAGCACCCTTGATGTCATTTGCAATTGTAGACTTGTATCAGTTACTTGTCTTCCGGCAATAGGCTTAACTAGTTCAGAAGAACATGAGTTCA